CCTCTGGCAGGTCGCTCCCTGCAGGAAACGCAGCCCTGCCTCCCTCCCTGCCGTCCTCCCGCGAAGGGAGGGAGAAGGCTGCCCAGCTCCCCAGCTCGGCACCCAGGCTCCTCGCAGGACACAAAGGGGACAGTGGCTGCTAGCGGCCCGGCCCCGGCCCTGGTGGGGAAGCCGGGAGGGGCCGGCTCCATCCGGCCGCTGGCTGGGCACCCGGTGCGGGCCCGGGGCGGGACGGGGATGAATGAAACACCTGTCTCCATGGAGCTCAGTCCACAGGAAGACACACCAGCCTCCACAGTCCCCATCCAACCGGAGAAACAATGGCCTGGGACACAGCCCAGCGGGAGGGAGAGCAGACAGGGCGTTGGGGGGAGATGCAGATGGGAGGCCTCTGAAGACTCGGGGTAGGGAGAGGAAGCAGGCCGGAGGCTGGGGAGCCACCCAGCCCGCACTCCGGAGGGAGAGAGGGAGGGAGGGACAGGGGTGCAGAGGAGGGCCCCGGATGTCTGTGCAGAGACCCCCAGTCCCTGGGGGGGGACGGAGCTGGGGAGCTTGCGGTAGTGAGGTCTGAGCAGCGAGCCCACGGTGTTCACTCGGAGGTCCAGTGGGTGTCCAGGGGGATGAGCCCGCCTGGTGGGAGGGGGCGCCCAAGTTTCCCTCTCGGTCCCCTGGGCCCGGCCCGGGGGGGAAGGGGCGAGGGTGGGGGGCGAGAAGCAGGGGCTCCGGGCAGCTCAGGCTGCAGCAGGGGTGGGAATGGGGCAGTCAGTCCTCCAGCCCCGGGGAGGGGGAAGGCGGAGGGACAAGGGGGCGCTCCTCTAGGTCCAGGCCCCACACCACCGCCGAGCCCAGGGCGGGAGGGGGAGCGGGGGCCGGGCGGGGGCTCTCCCGCCGCCTCCTCCAGGCCCCGCGCCGCACGCACCTGCCCGGACCCAGGGGGAGGGGAGTCTGCACCCCGGCCGCCCCCCACGGAGACGGCACGTGAGCCCGGGGGGCCGGGGGGCGACGACGCGTGGGTCGGGGTCCCCCGCGCCCGCCACACCCTCCCCTCCCGCCGGGCGGCCGGGCCGGGCCTCTCCCCGCGCGGGCGGCCGGCGCTCGGGGTCCCGCGGGCCGCGGACACACTCACCCGCTCGGCGGCGTCGCTCCGTCCCCTCCGGCCGCGCCGGGCCGCTCACGCCGCCGGGGAGGCGCCGGCCCCGCGGCCCCGGCCGGGCCCCCGCCTGCGCCCCGCGGCTCCGCGCGCCTCCGCCGCCAGCGGCCCCCGCGCGCGCGGCCGGGCCCCGGGCATGTCCCGCCGGCGGCGGCGGGGGCGGGGGCGGCGCACGTGCGGGCGGCGGGGTCTGCGCGCCGGGCGGCGGGCGGCTGGACAGCTCTCGGCGGCGCTCCCCGCGCGCCCGGCCGGCGCATTCCCTCAGGCGGCGGCGCGGCGCCTCCTCAGGCCGCGCGGGGAGCGGCGCCTCCGCCGGAAGGACCGGCCGCGGGGGCTCCGCGCGCTCAGCCGGCGCGGCCCGCCGTCCCCGTCCCCGTCCCCGGGCCCGGGCCCGGCCTGGAGCGCAGACTCACCCCTCAGCCGCGTCCGCCGGGCCTCGCCGAGGGCCCCGGGGACGGGAACCGCAGGCTGTCACTCCACAGCGAAAATAACGCGGACATAACAGGACATCACGGCGACCGTGATCCGCCGGAGAGAAAGGACAGACCCGGGGAGCACACGGCCCCGGGCCCCACAGGCAGCGAGGACGCTGCGGGCGCGCCGGACCGCAGCTCCATAGGCAGTGAGGGACCTGGGTGTGGGGGCCGCGGGCAGCCGCACAGGCTCAGACATGGCACCCAGTGTGTCCTAGACAAAAAAAAAAAAAATTTTAAATTTAAAAATTAAAAAATGGGGGCGGGGGGGATGCAGGAGCAGCGGGGGTCCTGGGGGCGGAGGGCAGCCGGAGGCTCAGCCCCAGCTCCAGAGGGAACTGGGAGCGGGTCAGACACAGCTGCATCGCTGGTTCCCTCCTGCGGGGACCCTCAGTTGGGGAGGGGGCTTCGTGAGATGTGAGGGACGGGATGGTGTGGGGATTGGCAGGGGGGGACACACACACCTGGTGGCCAGGAGCTGAGGTAATGGCATTGGGCAGGGCACACCTACAGCCCAGCAGCCCTGGGCCTGCCTGCGGGCCTGCGTGGTGGGCGGCCTTGCAAACTCAAGAGACCTAAGTAACCGCAAAGGAGGGTGTGAGATTAAAACTTTAAAAAATATATTTATGTATTTTTGTTGATTTCGTAGAAACATCCATGATGAGAGAAAATCATGGATTGGAATGCCTCCTGCACGATTCACACACAACCCAGGCGTGTGCCCTGACAGGGAACTGAACAGTGACCTCCTGGTTCGTAGGTTGACACAACCACTTGTTTAACTAAAAGCAGTTTATGGTGGATAGTCATGTCCCAGGTCGGTATCTTCCCTGAAGAAGGTCCATCTTTACCTATCTGAGCCTGTCGTCTTTTTGCATCTGCAATAAATTTCAATGGAATGTCAAAGTAGTTTTCCTTTTCCTGGACCCCTCCAAACAGGCAACATTCTCATTGTCATTGAGTTCATCACTGTGAACTACCTTGCACCCACCTAGTAAAAGAGGTGTCTTTATCATTTTACTTTTTATCCAATCCCAGAGGTTTCCCGTTTTGCTTTCTCCCTCCTCCCTAATCTATGACCAATGGATTTCATGTAGCCCTCATATGCCTCCTATTTTGATTATAAAGTGTAAAACAAGGTGCAAAAATACCATTCTCTGGAGCATTATCTCAATGTGTTGAGTTTTTGCTTCCCAGCCGTTGTTGACAGGCTCAAATAAACTCACAAAAATTCTTCTCAGGTTTGCATGTTTCTGACAATGACATCTGTCCCTGTCAGGCTAGAGTTCAAGGAGGCCAAGATGAGTTCAGATGAAGGCAAACCACCGAGGCTCTTCATCCGCCCAGTGACTGCATTGGAATTGGAGACCGAACAGGCCAGGAAAGCCACTGAGACACAACTCGGCCCAAAGCTCTGGTGTGAAGATGTTCAGAGACAAGTGAAGGTGTCCCAGCAGATCCCAAACCCTCAGCTCCTTCCAGCTAAGGCCCAGGGAAGAGCTTCCGGAGCACACAGGTCTGTGTAAGGCCTCTGCCCGTCAGTCGGAACTGAGCACCTGGACAAGTGTCACCCGGACCCTGTCATGATTGCTCTCTCACTGGCAGTAACTCAGAGAACTTAACACCATTAAAAACCAGACCTTGGGCTCAGCTGGTGTAGCTAAACCAGGAGGCCGGGGTTCAATTCCCAGTCAGGGCACATGCCTGCATTGCAGGAGGCAGCCAATCAATGATTCTCTCATCATTGATGTTTCTCTTCCTCTCCCTTTCTCTTTGAAAAATATATATTTTCACCCCATAGTTATACATACACCCCATAGTTAGCTGATGTGAATACATACAGTAATATCACCAGATAGTTCATTTCCACAAATATTTATTGAGTGCCTGTTTGCAAGAATGAAGAGACGGTGTCTGCTCTCGCGGAGCTTACAATTTCATCCCTCCAATGTTGGATGACATTTAACAGCAGCTGCAATGAGCACTTGGCCTTGCCTGTCAGTGGCACTCTGTGAAGAGAGTCTTCGTTATTCATCACTGTTACAGTGAAATTGTGAGTAAAACAATTATCTCTGAAGTCTGCAGTCAAAGTGGTGACCTGGTACACAATGTCCAGCCAGTGCAAACGTATGGCTTGATTCCTCCTCTGTGAGAGGGAGTCTATGGGAATAAAAACACAGACTGGAAGAGAAGAGCTTGGAACACCGGTGTAGTTTGACGTGTTATCAAACGCCTGCAAAGTCTGTGCGGTACAATCAGTTCCTTCGGACCCTGCGAATCTCACGACCCCTTGAGAGCCCCTAAGCAGGATTGACCTCTGACCCCTAAAGAGCTCTGGGTACACATTTGTTTTTTAAAGCTTCTTATAGACTCACAGCATGTTAAAATTTAATGAAAAACATTTGAAATATCTAAAATGTTGAATTTTATTACATATATCAGTACAGAGTTCAGAATTCAAACAACATTCAGCAAAGCACCTGGCTTTTCTACATTAAAAAGGGGAGTGTAAATAAGTCTTCCTTCATTCACCTGATGCGCAGTGGCCCTGCCTTGCTGGCCATCACCTTGAGATGTCACATTACGCAGCACTCCAAGGACCATGAGTTTCATTACACTGGCTTTTTTTTTTTTTTAGAACAGCCTATATTTATATCAAATAACCTTCAAGGCACCAAAGAAAAAGTGCTTTCTTTAATCTTACACCTAACAGCTTATCAAGTTTATTAGTGATTAAAAAAAAAATCTCATACCAAAGGAAATCTCATTTAAACTCCATGAAACCTATTTTTTCTTTCTTTTTTTTGCTAAGAGGTCAAGAGAGCATCTTGGACCACCTCATGGAGACGTCAACCAATCCCAGGTAGTTTTTAAGTCAAATGCTTAGAACACAATCTCTTTTTCTATTTTAAAACGTACCCAACAACCACTTGAAAGGCCTATTTCATTCCGGACGAAGCTGAAATGTGCTATTTACTGAATACACACTAAGCACTAGGCACTTGACAGAAATCTCCCGGAATGGAAGTCTCATTCCACCACTAGCTCTGAGGCAAGCACCCGGGTGTGGCCAGGTCTGCCAGGCCCGTCCCCTGCTGCCCAGTCCGACAGCTACTGAAGGGGTACGAGGGGACGAGCCCACGTAGAGCTGATTTGCTTTTCAAAAGGCACTTGATTCTGTTACTGAGGGATTCTGAGTAGCTGGTCTTTACCTGGGCACTGAGGGAACTTGAGATCCTTGCCCGAGGGCAGCCATACACCCTAACGAAGGGACTTGGTGCTTTATAACTAGTAATTGCTACCAAGAACCAGATGAGGTGGAGAAGCAGCTCAGAAGTAAACCAAAGTCTAATACCTGAGCATTTTTAAGAACTCGACTATGAAAGCTTGGAGTGAGTCTGTACAGACAGGAATCGAGTGTGAACATGTGGGCATGGGGTTCGGACTGGCCACTGAAAAGAGGGCAGCTGAGCAGCCTGGACTTGACCGGCCGTCAGGACGCACAGTTGCCAGTGCTGCTGGTCAGAGCCTAGGCTCCTGCCCACAAGCTGCTCCTGGGCGCCAGGTCCCGCCTGGCAGAGCTGGAGCCATTCACACACTCCCTTCTGCTGCCAGAGGCTGCTCTGACAGCCTGGTGCCCTCACAGCAGCCATTAGGGGAGTCCTTTTTCTTTTTGGCAGGGATGGGGTGGAGGGGTCAAATCTATGCAGGATGACTGGCAGCTGTGCCCAGGGAATGGAGGAAAGGGGCTCCCTGTACAGCCTCACTGGGTGGTCCCTGAACTTCATCAAAGCTTATCTATCACTGACCATCAAGGGTGGGACACAAGTTACATTCAGAATGATGGGCAGAGAGCTACAGCCCTCCAACTGTTTAACTTTCTCTGAAAAGTATTATATATGGCAAAATTAGAAAATTACATCTGTTTTCTTTCCTTACAAATAATAGAGTTTAAGGGAAACAAAATGAGTGAGTTATCCATGCAGTTTTGAAAGCTTTCCAGCGTTCCATTATTGCTGATATTGCTGTTATGACTAATCTAATATTCACTCTAAGACAAATGTGTCAGACAGGAATTGCATTAGTGCTTTTAAAAGCTCAGAACAACTAAATCCAGAGTGCTGTAATTTTTTTTTTTTGCATTCAGCGTGGATTAGCCTACCATGATGAAAACTGTTCTGAAGCATTTATTTAAAATTAAAAAATCATATTCACAATGTCGAACAAATTTATAAAACTGGTGCGCAGGTACTGTGAAAGGAGGAACACTATTTGTTTAGAGACCAGCAGCCTGCCACGGTCACACTTCCTTATTCCTGATATAAACTGGAGACATATACTATTTAAAAATAACACTTTTTAAATAGTAAAATATACAAGATTCCTGAGCATAACAAAAATATCTTGGAAATATGTGGCCATCAGAAGTATAAAAGAGTGAGTGTCATGATTGTAAAATTACGGTGGGAAGGGCTACAAACAGTAGAAAACGCTCCGCCTTCCCGAGGACGTAATTACACGTCAATGCACACGAAGCGGCTTGTTTAATGGCTACACGGGGCGGAGGTGCGCGGAGGAGCGCAGGACGTGGAACTTCTTCAGCGTCATGCGCACGGAGCCCAGCTCGCGGTTAATCCGCTCCAGGCGGTCCTCCAGGGCTTCCTGGGCAGAAAGACGGGAGAAGTGTCATTAGAATGTACACCAAGTTCACTGGCTCGTTACCACTAGATGGGCCTTCTTTTTGGCAAAAGAACAATCATGTATATTAAAGGCTAATATGAAAATCAACCGAACAGCAAAACAACCGGTCACTATGATGTACACTGACCACCAAGGGGCAAACGCTCAATGCAGGAGCTGCACCCTGGTGGTCAGTGCGCTCCCACAGGGGCATTACCACAGCCAGAAGCCAGGCTCACAGCTGGCAAGTGCAGCAGTGGTGGCGGCTGCTGCAGTTGGACATCCCCCAAGGGCTCCTGGACTGCAAGAGGGCTGCAGGGCGGGCTGAGGGACCCCCTGGAGTACATGAATTTCATGCACAGAGCCTCTAGTATAAATATAAAACTATTTTATTCACATCTTTATGTCACTTTTTTAAAACTGCACAATGTGAAAACTTTTCCACCACCCAAGTAACTTCTGCTCCGCCCAAGTAACTTTTCCACCACCCAAGTAACCCTCAGCATGGTCACGATGTGGGAGTTCTAGCCACAGTGACACAGGGATGGGAAGGAGCCCTAACCACCATGCTGAGCTGAGAAAGCACAGCCCTCCCCGAGTTAACAGACACCCGGCGGGCGGGTGCTGGGTTCCAGGTGCTCACACAAACAGGTAACTTTCTTCTGACAAAAATGTCGAAAAGGAAAAACAACATCTGGAGGAGACTTTTCCAAGGAACAGATTTCACAATGAGTTGATGAAACAACTGTGACTATTAAAATTACCTGGAATATATAGGGTGTTCCCCCAAAATGTATCCACACTTTAGCAGTGGATAGCTCAATCCTAAAAAGGAAATATATTTAATAAGCACTGCCTTTAGAATTATTCAAAGTGTGGGTCTACATTTTGAGGGGACACCTATGTACTTATTATGTTCGATATTTTATTCAGTATTAACTCCAATGGCATCCTGCAATGAAACTTTAGATTTTCTTCTTAACGACTTTAATTATAAAAGGACTACATGTTCCTTATAGAGTATTTAGCAGACAGATGAGCAAAAAGCAAGAAATGACTACTGTTCTCTTTACTCTTTTTCTGCAGATATACTCCCATCTTTAAGAAAATTTTAAAAAGAATTCATGTCTCCACTTCCAAATGTTTTACAATCAAACTGGTCTTGTTATATCGTTCTACAACACTGTTTTAAATTAAGTGCAACATTCCATCCGCTGGACCATATTTAACCTAGGATCTTCTAGTAGAGATGTAGGTGACTTCTAATTATAGCTATCACAAACAAGGCTGCCAGAAATACCCTTACACATATCTCCCTGGTGTATCTGTGCGTACTGCCTTAGGAACCATTCCCAGACATGAAAGCGCCAGGTCCAAAGGGAGGCAGAGTCCCACCACTTAGGACAGCTGTCAGCCGTGTTCTGGGGAGTGGGACACCGCCCACTGCACCTGCAGGTGTGCCAACATGCTTTCTCCCCATCCAGGCACTGTTTTTAAAAAATACCTGCCAATGTTGGTGCTTTTGTTTAGATGTGTGGGTTTTTTATTCATTGCTGAGGCTGACTACTTTCCACGTATTTTATTTTGTTGCCCAACTTAACTTTCTCACAAATCAGATACAAGCATCCTCAGCCCTTTGGGCTGCCCTTTGGCTTCACATGGAGCTGAAAGAGCTCTGACATACGGGGTGGGCAAAGGAGGCTTACAGCTGTTCAAATGGAAAATACAATAATGAGAAGAGAAGAAGCTGCTCCGCATACCATCCCGTATATGAACAGAAACTAGAGCCCTTTGAGTCTCACTTTAAGAGCTCACGACCACTGTATAAAAATACATTAAGCAAATGTCTCAGACAGACTTAGGATCGGAGCACCAACATTTCTCCCGCCTTCCCAGTAAACTATTTTAAGAAGAGTTTTGTGTGTTGCGTCTTACAAATCATTGAATAACAACTTTCAAGACAGCAAAACCAATAAAAAGACTTAAAAGTCAGGTAAAAGGAGAAGTTAGGGCTCCAGGCCCTGGAAAGAGCCCCTGGCTGTTCTGTGTCCGACTTCCTTCCGGTGTCGCAGTGCAATCTGGTGACGAGCTTCCCCTGAAGCAAGGCCCGGAGGAGCCGACAGGCCACTCCACAAGGACACAGAGTGCCTGCCGTGTTTACATGTTACAACGTGAACAGTCTGACTGCCCTGTGGCTCAGGCACTTCCATTCTTGGCCACGCGCTGTCCACCTTCTCAGCGATGGAACCACACCGCCCTCTGCGGTGAGACCATGTGTTCCCACATTCGTTTCTCAAAAACATACCTGTGCGGTTTTCTTGAAGTGCAAAGGTAAAATCAGTTTTTAATACTGAAAGCTAGCATGCAGATATGAAATATGCGATGATTACCAAACACTTCCTACAGAGGCTGAGTTCTGACCACCTGTGTCCACATGCCTAAAAGCAAGATTTAAAACCATCTGGTCAATGGGGCGGCCGGCCTCCGAAGCAGACTTAAGCTGAGACACCTCACCTGATTTAATCTTGTCTGCAAAGTGACTCGTCCTCCCATCGAAGGCATCCGACTGAGGGCAGCCTCAATCTGTCAACACAGAAGGCTTAATAAAGACCGGGAGAACTCGCATTGCTGACAGGAGCTTATCATAGAGCGAAGGGCAAGACCTCAGCCTCCGAGTCCTTGTCTGACTCTTCCCCGAGTCCCGCGGCCACGATGCACAGCGCCACCTGGCTCACAGCTGTGGCTTTGGTGTGAAATGCCCAGCAAATTCCTGGGGTGGGTGTCACTCACTGACTCCTCTCACCAGACCTTAGCCACAAGCCTTAAGTTCAGAAAAAGAGGTAAGCAATATTTTGTTGCTTTTACCTGGTCTTTTTCTTTTGTAAGTTCATCAAAAAAGCGTTCTGTTTCCGCCAAAGTCCTGATCTTCGCGGTGTACTCGAAGTCGTGGGCGCGCGCTCCGGCAGCCGGACAGGGTGCACCGCCCAGCTCGCCGGCGCCCTCGGCGCCCTTCGCTCTACTTGGCGGCAGGTCAGGGGAAGAGCTATGGCTTGCATGGGCATCGGTGGCTTTTTCTGAATATTTTTTTTCTGTCAGAGAGAAAAATGCCTTTGATTTCTTATCAAGTTTTCAAATAGCTTGTATACACACTTTCCCTTCACTTTCTGGGAAGAGCTGCTACGGGGCCAAGCAGCAATGAGGAGCCAAGCCCTCCACAGAAGGTTACTCAGAGCTGCTGCTCCACAGAAGCCAGAGCTCTGCCCTCGCTGGGACAGGCCTCCTTAAACGAGCCCAGAGACTACCTGTAACCCTAACTTCAGCACACTTCAGAAAGTTTAAAACTGAACAGCACACGTATGGCAACACAAAAGGGCGAACCACGTGACTCCATCTACACTATCTTACACCTTTACTCCAAACTAAGATATAAATGAGAAAAAGGAAAAGATTACCCAAAGCCAAAGCTGCCTTAAAAACCAGACTCTGTGGAGAGGAAGTGAGGACAGGTAGCAGCCCCCGCCCCTCCGTGTCCCAGCGTCTCACAGAGGACACCCACACTCACACAGGTGAGCGCTGGGAATGCTTATCTTTACCAACATACTTGAAGGCAGGATATTATCGTATTTAGAAACTTGGGAAGATACCAACACTTACAGAACGAATGACTAAAACCAAAACTAAGAATTTTGTAGGAAAAGATACCTTCCGAGTCATCTAGAGGAAGAAACTGGAGTTGTTTTCTTGGATTGGTACGTGGTAACGCAGACACGGGAACAGTATCTAAATCATCCAAAAGTATATCAAATCTATTGAATGAAGCAAGTTACTTGTGAGAAAACACTGTCAACTCATGTTCCCTATCGCCACTAGAGACGAGCTGGCATCCAGGTAACTCACTCACTGACGTATTTTTAGAAACAAACTGGTCATATAACTTTTCAAAACTGAAATCTAGTTTGTTTTCTAGTACAAATCCTAGCGACATACCCAGACTTCCAGGATGGTCTCCTGTCTGACCTCTCTAACACCCTCATGGAATCAGCAGGGCAGCTGTTATCATCCCTGTTCTACAGAAGAGGAAGCCGGCCCACTGCGCTCAAGGAATTTCCCAGGAGCCAGTGGCCGCCCCGGAGCGCACCCTGCTGACCATAGTGAGGTCATCTCTCAGGAGTCCAGGTAAACTGATGCCCAGGGCCAGGGCCACACCGGGACAGTCCACAATCTTGTACCATAAACCTTTTCAGGAAAACAAACAAGTACTGTTCTACAGCCAAAGCCGGGAGGAAGGGGCTCTGAGATGGTGCTGAACTTAGGAATAGCCAGTTTACTGTTACAAACTGTAAACTATATATAGTATTTTTAACTTTTATATGACATTCATTGATATGATTTAAAGCCAGAAAGTTCCCATTAACTGAAAAATTAATGATAGCTAGAGGTATATGTTACTTTTTTTTTTTTTTTTTTAAACACAATATATACATATTTTATGCTACAATTTCAGAGGACTTACCGAATTGGACTGCCTTCGGTTTTGCTAAGCAGGTGGCTAAATCCTGGGGACAAATTTTCTTTAGGGGACCGCTTTGGACTATAAGCCACAGTCACTGGTGTTAACATAATCTCTCTTTTCGCTAGAGAAGAAAACAAAGAGGAAATATTCTTTTCCTTCTCTATAATACATGTGTCATATTGGCAGAACATATTCTTCAAAGAAATATCATTTCATTGAAAGACAAATAAGAGTACGAAGAATAAAAATGAAATAACTCCTGACCCTGACACCAAGAGGGGACCAGAGCCAGCATTTCCTACAGCAGACTGTAGCTGCGGCACAGACTCAGAACTGGTTTTTCAGGATTTTGGAAGTGGACTGGAAATAAGATGGAAACGCCAGAGCTCGGTGGACTTCCCCATAACATAGTCGTATAGCACGCCCCTCAGCTGCTATGAAAATAAAAATTAAGGACGGAAATCCAGTGTTCAGACTTGACAACCATCCCTGTCATTGGCTGAAGAGAAAGGTGACCAGTGGGAGTAACCTTAGGTAAATGCATGCAGAGAAGCATCACTCTGCGGCTGGCTTCCATTTGTGTTTGAGCTAATGTTTAATTAGATATTTATCAACTCTCTCAAAACTGTGCAGTGGCATTAGTTGCAAAATATTTGCTGGACACACCAACAATCTCACAAAATAAACTCTGCATTTTTTCAGGTACAGTCGAGACCTGTTGTTCTTGGACAAGGTCACAGGTCACAGTTAGGGGCCGTATTCAGAGATCCGGTGCACGGGAGCGTGTGAAGAAAGCGGGGAGTGTGCCGGGGTGCGGCTCGCGTGGCACCTGGCTCTTACTTGGAGTGCTGGGCTTGCGGTTGGAAGGCGGCAGGGAGGACGACCTCTGCGCGGCACAGTTAGGCCTCCGGTGTCTCTGCGGGGCGCTTTTCTCTGGGGACCCACTCGCACTGACAGGCGTTTCAGTTTGCCGAGGATTCACCAGTTCTGAGACAAGAGTAAAAAAAATCAGCAAGACAAGCCCAGCTTCACTCATCTGCCTTTATTAACATGTTCACCGGCAACAATTCTTCTCACTGTGTAGGTTACAATGATTATTTGCAAAAGCACCACGTTATAGATAACAATGCCTGATGAAGAAAATGTGGGCATTTGTAATGCATTCATTTTGGCTCCCTGTTTACAATTCAAGGTGATTTTTCAAGAGTTTATTTTTAGAAAGCAGGTCACTAATTTATTTATGAGGAGATACAGTTTTGGACGCTACACTGAAGATGTCAATGATGTGATTACCAGGCCTGACCAAGTGAGCAGAGAGGAAGCATGAGAGGAGCTGCAAGAACCTGGACCCATGAAAACCAGCATGAAGATGCTCTGGCCCCTCTGCTGGGTGCTCGGGAGCCTAGGAAGGCAGAGAAGGAATGGCCCGCTCACTATGAGCATCAGGCGCCTGTCACAGCTTCCTGATGTGTGCAAGTCAGACAAACTGATGCAGAAATTTTCCACATGTCATTAAGAATGCCACAGAAATCTTTAATAATCAGAATATAGCACATAATCTGCTTTTATAAAAAGTAAATGTTAAGCCATGACTATGATAAATTATTCACTAGGGATTTGTTATCTATGAAATGGAGGTGAAGCAGCAATAAACTAAATCTTATTTCATCACTGAGGGAATCCCATTTTAAAGAGAAAGTAATATAGTTACAAGGAAAGGGAAAAAAACCTAAATCTCTATAATCTATCTATCTATATAAAAGCCTAAGCAACCATTACGACCGATCGACTGCTTGACTAATGGCTATGGTGATGCACTGACCACCAAGAGGCAGGCACTCAATGCAGAAGCTGCCCTCTAGTGGTCAGTGTGCTCCCCCAGCCAACCTCCCACACGGTCCCTCCCTGACACTGGCTGGCCCTGATCTGCCCCAATCACCTGCCAGGCCAAGGGACCCTGCCTGTGCACAAATTTGTGCTCTGGGCCTCTAGTATAAATGAGAAATAAAATACTTACTATTTGAAGTGTCCTCTCTCTCTGTCTGTGTGCCCCAATTTTTAAATATTTTTCCTTCTTCAAGTTCTTTTAAAGCTCTCATGATTGGTGCATCTGAAGTCTCTCTTTGTTTTTTTACCAGTAAGTTTGTTGGTGAACTTCCAGGTGAAGAATCCTTTTCCGGAGGAGAATGGTACCTTAAATAATAATTGTAAGACACATAGTGCTATGGACAGAATATTGTGCCCCTGCCCCCCAACTCATACAGAAGCCTCAGTTCTCAGTGTGATGCTGTTTGGAGGTGGGGCCTATGGGAATTAATGGAGTTTAGATGAGACCAAGAGGGGGTCAGTGCCCCAATAAAGAAGAATAAACAAGATCCTCTCTCATGTGCCAAGAGCACAAGAGGGGAAGCTCTGCACAGCCCACAGAAGTGAACTGTCCAGAGGGCACTAGTCTCTCAACTAAAAATAAAAACCAGGTCCTTAAAACTGAGACATTAGGGGACAAGGAGAAGGCTCTAGGAAAACACCACAGCCCCTAACCATGACCTTGGACAGTCATCTCACCCAGGAGCGCCCGTTTCCTCCGCTGCCGTCCTGTCCAGCACGTCCAGGGGCTGGCCGGTGAAGATCGAGTACTCCGCCCCCGGGATCAGCCACTTCCGCCTGCTGACGTCAGAGGTGGTCAGTGTGCTGTAGAGGGAGGAGTGTTGTGGACGTTACAAGGTTTGTGCTTCCATTTAAGCTGAGTACAGATGAAACACCTGGCTTCAAAGAGTACTCCCATGCTTCCACAGAAACTTAAAAACCACAGGTAGCATCTCTTGATACATGAATTCTACATCTCGGTTCTAAGACCATTTCACGTTTCTGTTATTGCTGATCATAACTGAGCCTCGGTTGAGACTCAGGGGCTCGTACACCCACAGCTCCACACACCCCACCGGAGAGTGCCCTCTGCTCCCACCAGCCCCGGGACAGAATTTCTGCTCGTCACACTCTGCTACTGAACACCGAAACGGAGCTACTACAACTGAAAAACCAACTTTTAAAGGTGTCTTCATTTTAATGAGTTGAGTGGTCTCCTTTCTCCACACCTCCTCTGCCCTCGTTCTGGGAGGGCCACACGCACAGGCTGTCCTGGCCTCGCCAGGGGCCTGCTCTGCTCCTCCAGTGAGTCCAGCACCACCGGCCTGGTCTCCACAGGAATCAATCCTCCAAAGACTCCTCTGGTGCCCTGTGCGAGCTCGGCCTCCCTTCTCCTGTGTCTCAACCCCTCCCAGAGTCTCTAGTCCCGCTCTACCCACCCTGGGATGCACCCTGACTCCCTTCCCAGCTCGCCCTCAGTCAGGGCTGACAGCAGCCAGCACCTCAGCCTGGGTGACGACACTGACTTCTCGATATGTGATATGTCGCTACAAAATCACTCTCACCATCTCAGCCGGACACCCAACACGGCTGGCAACAGAGCTCCCTGTGATGGGCGACTGTCTCCCGCCTTCTCCGCTCTCCTCTCACTGCTCAGCCTAGCCTAGACCACCGAAGATAACCTCGCATGGCACTCCAGAAAAAACCCAAAACCGGGAGACCAAGCCTGCCTTCCTCTCTCTGCTCGCTTCCCACCACACTTTTTAGGAGTTGCCTCTTTTACCTATTTACATTTTAACCCCAGACACTCCTTTTCCTCAACTTTTTAATATATATATTAATTTCAGGAAGAAAGAGAGAACATCAAATGATGAGAGAATCATTGATCAGCTGCCTCCTGCACGCTCCACACTGGGGATCGAGCCCGTAACCTGGGCATTTGTCCTCCTGGTTCACAGGTCCATGTTCAACCACTGAGCCATGCCAGCTGGGCAAAACTTTTACAATAAAAACATGTCAAACAGTCTTAGAAGATTACAAAGAAAACTGTAACAAACACCTGCCCACACTCAGTTTTAACAAATGCTAACATCTTCCCCTAATTGTTTGTAGTTGTAAAACATTGATACATGGTATGCTTGTATTTTTTAAGTTACAACCAAGTTATAATGCACACATCCCTGAGTGCTGCTGCTTTTACTCGGCATCACCTTTGAGGTCGATCCCTGTGAATCAGAAGGCACTGTCATCTTATTTACCCACAGTGTAACTGAACCACGTCACGCATCCTCCCTCTTGGTGGTGGGTACTTCCCTTCTAATGGATTCCTTCAACAATGCTACAGTTAACAGGTGTAAAAATTGCTCTCAGTCTGAAACAGGTTTGGCTCAGTGAATAGAGAGTCAGTCTGTGGACTGAAAGGTCTCAGGTTCGATTCCGGTCAAGGGCATGTACCTTGGTTGCAGGCACATCCCCAGTAGGGGGTGTGCAGGAGGCAGCTGATCGATGTTTCTCTCTCATCGATGTTTCTAACTCTCTATCCCTCTCCCTTCCTCTCTGTAAGAAATCAATAAAATATATTTTTAAAAATAAGTAAATAAAAATAAAAACATAAACAATTTCCAGCCTGCAGACAGTACTTAGGCACCAACCACCCGCATTAGAAAACCTTGCTTCTTCACTTCCTCTCTCTCAGATTTTCAGAGTGGACTCTCCAGATACAAGTGGGATCCTCTGGTGCCTCTTCCGTCTCACTCTCCCCAAAGCTGCTGTTGGTTCTCTCTCAATGTTCAACTTCAGTTATTTACATAATTTTTCTTTAATAATTCATTATGTTCTACCAGCAAAGATCTAGGAAAAGTTTCTCATTTGACAACTGACTTAGGTTAAAATTCACAATTTAACAATCCTTTTCAAGTAACCACAGTTACAAAGTTATGATCTACTCATTTTTTCTAAAACATATTTTATTGATTTTTTTATAGAGAGGAAGGGAGAGGGATAGAGAGTTAGAAACATCGATGAGAGAGAAAGACTGATCAGCTGCCTCCTGCACACCCCCTACTGGGGATGTGCCTGCAACCAAGGTACATGCCCTTGACCGGACTCAAACCTGGGACCTTTCAGTCCGTAGGCCAATGCTCTATCCACTGAGCCAAACCGATTTCGGCTGATCTACTCATTAATACTATTTATTTACCACCAAATCATAAATTAAAAAAAAACACAATTCTAACAAGGGAAACGTATTCTGTAAATGTATCAAGACAATGCTGAGATGATAGCAAAGCTCATTTTGAAAAAGTAAGAAGAAAAATTCACATAAGCTAATGAAAATCTACTGTCACAGGTCTCTCCACTAATGTGGGAAGAAAATACCTGGTCTTTTAGGGCTAAAAGATGGTTTGAGATACTTCAATCCAATGTCCTTGTTTCCACAGATAATAAAATTGGGCTCAAAAAAAAATTCAGGGATTTGCCTAAGGTAAATTTCCCTAAGCTGGGCGGAGTAAGAAACAAGAAACAAAAAAAAGTTGTTACAATGGCAAATTAAAAAAAAAAAAAAGAAGAAGAAGAAGAAGAACACCCTCCTTTCCTCGCTCCCAGTCTCTCCCTCCTCCTTCCAGGAAATGCATCTGCAGGAGCTTGTGCGCTGGCTGAGAATGAGGCGATTTTAAACATCAAATTCTCTGTGACATCAGCCCCAACATTCTCATGGTTCAGGCAGAGGAGCTTCTGAGGTGACAGAAGGGCACACCTGTTTCTCGCTTTGCAGAGATTAAACAAAGTCACTTACTTGCCACGTGTGGGTCCCATGGGAGCTCTGGAAGTATGGCGAAGACTTAACATATTTTCATGCTCCACTTGCTTGACCTGAGCTTCAAGTTTTGAGATCGTTCTGATTCAAAGCAATAAAATAAATGTAAGCACATTTCAACAAATTTAAACAACTCAATTACAAATTACTGATTTAATAGATCCTTCTAGAAAAGGGGAGACAAAGGAGCTGCAAGTCCATAAACCTTTCCCAGTAAAATTCCACTGTTTAACTTTACAAAGTTGACCAAGTAAAGGAGAGTAAGTAGAAGGGCAAGTGCATTCAACTCTACAGAGGAGCACTCATCCTACACCTGAAGGAAAAGGAACAAAACAGATGGACTTAATCTAGCAAGTAAAAAAAATTATAAATTTAACTATAGATCAACACATACAATATAGAAATATAAATTATAATATTCAAATAAACTGCAATCCTAACATGTTTAATATGTACACATACAAGCACATGAACTATATATATAGGTAACACTTCCAAGGAAGAGAAAGCAGGTTTAATTCCCAATAACAGAGCCACTAAAAAGAACTCCTAGTTTTAAATTATGTACCTCATTGAATTTGTGCCATGTTCAGAATAAAAGCCCATTTTCTTTTTCTTTTTTTTCTTTTTTTAAAATATATTTTATTGATTTTTACACAGAGAGGAATTGAGAGGGATAGAGAGTTAGAGACGTCGATGAGAGATACATCGACCAGCTGCCTCTTGCACACCCCCCACTGGGGATGTGCCCGCAACCAAGGTACATGCCCCGGACTGGAATCAAACCCCGGACCTTTCAGTCCGCAGGCCGACGCTCTATCCATTGAGCCAAACCAGTTTCGGCTAAAAGCCCATTTTCAAGTTATCACCAGAAAATAAATACTCTCGCCAATTTTTTTAAACATGTCTTAGTTCTTTTAAATTTTGCACATGTCCTCATCTGATCTTTTTTTCTTTTTTTAATCCTCACCCAAGGATATTTTCCCATTGATTTTTAGAGGAAGTAGAAGAGAGGGAAAGACAGAGGGAAATATGTTTCTCTCACATTGATTGGTTGCCTCCTGTACATGCCCTGACCTGGGCCCAGGCCAGGGAGGAGCCTGCAACAGAGGTATGTGCCCTTGACCTGAATCAAGCACGTGATCCTTCAGTCCACAGGCCAACGCTTTTTTTCTTTTTTCTTTTTCTTTAAATAACATATTTTAGCCGAAACTGGTTTGGCTCAGTGGATAGAGCGTCGGCCTGCGGAGTGAAGAGTCCCGGGTTCGATTCAGGTCAAGGGCATGTACCTTGGTTGCGGGCACATCCCCAGTGGGGAGTGTGCAGGAGGCAGCTGATCGATGTTTCTCTCTCATCAATGTTTCTAACTCTCTATCTCTCTCCCTTCCTCTCTGTAAAAATCAATAAAACATTTTTTAAAAAAAAATAAAAATAAATAACATATTTTGCTCAAGAACTTTTACTTTATTTATTTTCATATATTTTTATTGACTTTGGAGCAAAAGAGAAATGGAGAGACAGATAAAAACATCAATGATAAGAACCATTGATAGGCTGCCTCCTGCACACCCTCTACTGGAGATCAAGCCCACAACCCAGGCATGTGCCCTTGACTGGAAACGAATCTCAGAACCTTTAGTCGGCAGGCCAACACTCTATCCACTGAGCCAAACCAGCTAGGGCTGATCTTTTATTTTTTAAGGTAAGAGTTTCGTACATTTAAAAAAAACAATTTTTATTGATTTTTAGAGATAGAGGAATGAGAGGGAGAGAGATAGAAATATCGATGATGAGAGAGAAACATCAATCACCTGCCTCCTCACACCCCTTATTGGAGATCAAGCCCCAAACCTGGGCATGTGCCCTGACTGGGAATCGAACCAGCGACCTCTTGGTGCTTGGATCAAAGCTCAACCACTGAGAAACACTGGTACAGCCTCATCTCATCTTTTAAACTCAAATTCTTACCTTTCCCATTAGAAGGAAGGTTTGAGAAAAACTTCAGATAAGGCCACTAACACTGGAACTGAATGAGCAGAGAAAGTCAGCAGCAATCCTGTCCTCTCTACGGGAAGTCCTAAAGAGTGCGGTAAAAATCTCCAAATAAGGACATTACTATCCCCAAATATAGAAACATGCTTAAAAGCAAATTAGTAATATGGAATCATTTGCCACTGGGACAATTTGATTCTATTCCTACCTAATTAAGCAAATCAGATCATGAATATAGTCCCCAAGACAGGTCTTTAAGAAAGCAGATGACCACAAATAGGTGGAAATGCTGTTTTGGGGGAGCATAAAAATATTCAGAGAATTAGACTGCTTCTTAAAATTCTTTTCAATGCTTTAGTATCAATTAGATGTTATCTAGCCTGTGAAAATACATAATATTTGGGGAAATGTGCACCTCTCAGGAAAAACCATTGATATATTCTAATCATTTAAATATCTTCGGCTACCTTGGGCAGTGTGGCTCAGTGGTTGAGTGTCAACCTATGAACCAGGAGGTCACGGTTCGATTCCCAGTCAGGGCAAATGCCCAGGATATGGGCTCAGTCCCTGGTAGGGGGCAGCCAATCCATGATTCTCTCTCCTCATTGATGTTTCCATCTCTCCATTTTTCTTCCTCTCTGAAATCAATTTTTCAAAAAAGTTTTAAAATATTTGGCTAATATCAAATATATTTCAATGTCAGAAAGATTAGGTAAGATCTAATCTCAAAATGCTTGCAAATCCTCAAGAAAAACTTTATTTTCATCACTTTCAATATAGACACTTAGTTAAGTGCTAAAAAATAATCAGAGGTGTTTGGTTAGTAAGACAATGCATTTACCTTTTCAAATCAGAAATCTGAGTCTGTGCATCAAGTAATTTGTTCTCGGTTATATTTAATGTATCCTATGAAAATAAAGGAAAAGTTCAGAAAACTGAAGTATTCAAAGGTAGTCCTTTTATTTAAAAATGCAAAACACAGAACCAACCTAAGGCTGCACCAGAGAGCTACAAAGAAAATCATGCAGATACTCAGCAATGGCCTCCACCAAGCCAGGCAGACCTCCCGGAAGAGGAGGGGTAAGTGGATGCGGGTTCACAGACAGCTGTGGGGCCTGGAGGGCCATGTGCCCTGCTTGACTGGATACGGTCCAGTGTTAAATGGACACATTTTAACCACAAACCTGGTTGAAGTCTCAGTAAGTGGGGAAAATCCCTGTGATAATGAGGTTTCCAAAGTAAAGCCTGGCCCCTGACCCCCAGAATTCTTGGTGGCTGGGCTGGGCAGGCCCTTTCATTAGCCGTGAATAATCTCAAGCCGCACTTTCCGCAGCAGAAATACTGGGGTCCCACTTACAGCATCACTGTGGGTTTCACTGCATACAAATGGTAGTTCTCCAACAGAGCTTTAGTCAAGAGTTCAAACATAGTAAGTTCAACCCCACAAAAAGCCAATGCTCTGTATTTAAGTAGTATTGATTATTTGCATCTGCATGGCCTCTTACTCTTCTAAAAATTTCATCTCACCTCAAATGCAACAGCCAGCCAATAAATATTTGTTAAATGAACAAACCCACCAGACTGCAAGTTACAGGTAGATATCTAAAAATAAGCCTACTGACCCAGAGAAGGTAAGTCAGCGCCAACAGCTACGGGGGACAGGGCGAGGGAGCAGGGGAAGGCCAGGGCCCTTGGCTTCCAGTCCAGTGCTCTGCCTCCACCACAGCCCAGAACATAAGCAACGAACCGCTATTACCTTTACTCTTTCGTGTTCTCTTCCCAGGGACTCATACTCTCCTAAAAGCTGCAGGAAAAACAAAGAATTGCACCAGAAAATTAACATATTATCCACTGAAGGATACGCTGTAACAGTGGCTCCCAATGTGGAATACACACCCCACAGGGGGGCAATTTGACTTTTAAGGGGGCAATTTAATTTTAAGGGGGACAATTCGAGAATGAGTTATTAACATTGATTTTTTTTTGCATTTCTTATGATTCTAGAGGCCTCATATAGAGTGTGTGTGTGTATATATATATATATATATATATATATATATACTAGTTAAAGGCTAAGTAACTGTAGCTAGTAACTAGTAACCGTCTGACCAGCAGCTTTGACATGCAATGACCACCAGGGGGCAGACATTTAACGCAGGAACTGCTGAGCTGCAGTTCCTTGGCAGTGGTGGTTCTTGGGTAACGCACCCGGAACTAGAGAAGAAGAAGCCTGTTTTTTGGGGTGCGACACCCAAGAACAGCCCTCTCACAATCCGGGGATGTCAGAGAGCCAGTTTCGGCCTGATTCCCACAGGCCAGGCCAAGTGACCCGACTTGCCAGAGGGACCCCACTCATTCTGCAGACACCCTTCGATCCGGAGCACCGCCCCAGATGCCCATGGGTGGTTGGCTCTGGGGCCCATTTCTCCCAGTCCCACCCCACCAGCTGCCTTCTAATTAATTTCCTTTCAACGTGCATGAATCCGTGCACTGGGGCACTAGGAAATATATATTGTGACATATTTATACATTTCAGTTCTCTATTGTTTTGAAACTTTATTTGCTATTTTTTCATATCACTTCATATTATTGTTTAAATATGTTTTTATCACTGAAACCGGTTTGGCTCAGTGGATAGAGCATCGGCCTACGGACTGAAGGGTCCCAGGTTCAATTCCGGTCAAGGGCATGTACCTTGGTTGCAGGCACATCCCCAGTAAGAGGTGTGCAGGAGGCAGCTGATGCATGTTTCTCTCTCTCATCCATGTTTCTAACTTTCCCTATCCCTTCCTCTCTGTAAAAAATAAATTAAAAAATATATTTATAAAAATAAATAAATAAATAAATAAATAAATATGTTTTTATTGATTTCAGAGGGGGGGGGGGAATTTCAATGATGAGAATCACTGATCAGCTGCCTCAAACTGCTGCACAGTAAAAACAGGGCAACAATCACTCCTAGGAAAAAGAAAGGTTGTAAGAGAAAGGAAATGTACCACTGTACATGGCAGCAAAGATGTAGAAATGCTGAATACTGATCTAACTATAAACAACAACACACGCATTTCAGATTGAAGACAGCTAACTAGAAACCATACCATCGCTTGTTTACTATGGGAGGAAAAATGCTGCTGCCGATTAAAATGCGACACATGGGGTAAAGCTGCCCAGTTCCAGAGCCGTTACAATGGGAGAGAGAAGGCGCCTTCGCATCAGTTCAGTTTGTGAACCACATTGGGAGCAAATGGCGCAAGAAAGCTAAACTGTCACCATGCATAGAAGGAAGTCATATACTGTCTGCTTTGACAGGGGAAAAAGCAAGAATAATGTTAAGTTTCCTATTTAGAAACATGGAGGAAAGTGCTGGAAGAAACAGCTGACGGTAATGGCCTCCAGGGGACGGAACTCCAAGGTACAGAGAGGAGGGAGGACTTGTTTTTCATTTCCAATTTCGCTATTTAAACCATTTACCTGTGTCTCATGAAAATAAAATTTAAAACCAATTTGCAACAGCATGGATGGACCTGGAGAGCATTATGCTAAGCGAAGTAAGTCAGTTGGAGAAAGATAAATATCACATGATCTCACTCATTTGTGGAATATAATGAACAACAAAAACTGATGAACATAAACAGATCCAGAGACAGAGAAGCATCGATCAGGTGGTCAAACCTAAGAGGGAAGGCAGGGGAGTGTGGGGGTAAGGGGAAGAGATCAACCAAAGGACTTGTGTGCATGATATAAGCATAACCAATGGACACAGAGACCAGGGGGGTGAAGGTATGAACTGGGGGAGAGGGAAGGGAATGGAGGGATAAGGACTCATATGTAATACCTTAATCAATAAAGAAGAAAAAAAATTTTTACACCAAAGCAACAAGCATCAAACCTAAAGCTACCAGGAAGAAGCTTTCAACAGTCAAAATACTTTTACGTTTTTAGGTACCATGACAAGGGATATTAAGAAAAACTTAAGAGGGGAAAAATACAACCTGAAACCTACTCCCACATCAGTGCCACACAAATGCAATTTTAAGTGAAATCAGAGTGAGGAAGTGTCAGCAAACCGGTTCTCAATCTTTGCCCTGCCAGACAACAGATGTGGGTTTCAGACTGCTCCCAGTGGGCCGCCAGAGACAAAGGCATGCGTGGGAGGGAGTGACAGCATGGTCTCAGAGTTCACTTCCTGCTTCGGGACAGACCCACCCTACACCGTGGGAAGGTATATATTTGCAGCTACAGCAAAGTTATGTAAAATAAACTAAAATCACAAGAGCCTGTAAAAGTACACCACCTCGTTACTTTAGCTGAGCACATCACCAAGCGCTTACATCTTGAAACATTTTGTTTTCCTGTTTCAGTCTGGCGTCTTTGTCATCTGAGAGTTTGTAGGCGTTCTCAAAGGCTTCCTCCAGATCCTGCAGCCTACACTTCAGCCGCACGATGGTGCTGTCCTTCTCTCTGTTGCTTGTTCTCATTTCCTCGATGCGTTCTTGCAGAACTTTAGAGGCGCTGCTGGCTGCACTGAGGCGCTCTCTGAACTCACTCTACAAAACAGACAGGATAATCAATTGTCTTTAATAAGAAATAGATGTCTCACCTGCCGGCATAGCTCAGTCGACCTATGAACCAGGAGGTCAAGGTTCGATTCCTGGTCAGGGCACATATGCCCAGATTATGGGCTCAATCCCCAGTGTGAGGCATATAGGAGGCAGCCAATCAGAGATACTCTTTCATCATTAATGTTTCTATCTCTCCCTTTTCCTTTCTCTCTGAAAAAAATTTTTTTTAATAATATATATATATATATATATATATATATATATATAAAAGAAAAAGAAATAGATGTTTCAATAGCAGCTAATAAACTGTGGGCATTAAAATATAATAAGGCAGCCGAAACTGGTTTGGCTCAGTGGATAGAGTGTTGGCCTGCAGACTGAAAGGTCCCAGGTTCTATTCCAGTCAAGGGCATGTGCCTTGGTTGCGGGCACATCCCCAGTAGGGGGTGTGCAAGAGGCAGCTGATCGATGATTCTCTCATCGATGTTTCTAACTCTATCCCTCTCTCTTCCTCTCTGTAAAAAAAATCAATAAAATATATTTTAAAATATTTATATATAATAAAGCAAAACATAAAATGGAAATCAGCAAATTTAATTTTTTTTAAATATTTTCATTAATTTCAGAGAGGAAGGGAGAAGGGAGAGAGATATAAACTTTAATGAGAACCATTAATCGACTGCCTCCTGGATGCCCACCACTGGGAATCAAACCAGTAACCTGGGCATGTGTCCTGATGGGGAATGGTACACAGTTTGACGCTCAACCACTGAGCCACGCTGGCTAGGCAACAAATTTACTATTTTGCTATAGCCTGGGGTGGAGACCAGAAAGAATTACGCTACCATGAGTTGATCATAAAATGTGAACTGATGCCCTAACCTGTTTGGCTCAATGGATAAAGCATCAGCCTGTGGACTGAAGGGTCCCAGGTTCGATTCCGGACAAGGGCATGTACCCTGGTTGCAGGCACATCCCCAGTAAGCGATGTGCAGGAGGCAGCTGATCGATGTTTCTCTCTCATCGATGTTTCTGGCTCTCTATCCCTTTCCTTTCCTCTCTGTAAAAATTCAATAAAATATCTTTAAAAAATAAAATAATAAAATGTGAACTGAAAGCCACTGTTCAAGGCATTTGGATTGTAGAACTTACCTGTGTATCGCTTTAGTGAAGAAAAATAACCATGGCTATTAGAGAAATGATTCTGAAAGTATAGCTGAAATTTGTTGCCCTACATTCCCATTTAAAGGTTAAAAAAGTACATTCCTTAATAGGAAAATAAAATTCAAGACGTATGTTAATATTCACTCAGTCATTTCTTGAATACCCACTAGGTACTTCGCACCAGAGTGGCTAGAAATGAAGATTAACATGAAGGACAAATTCTGACTTCATGAAGTTTAGAGTGTAGGAGGAGACAAAGATGACTAACAAACATCAAAAACAAAGAAACAGCATGTAAAATATAACCAACACTTTCCATCAAAACAATGTTTATAAGGTTGTGTGTAGAAGAACAGAACTTGGCACTATATGAAAAAAAAAAATTATATAGTTAAAAGCAAAAGTTTATGCATTTCTTATTATTTATATAAGAAAATGAAACCCTAGGCTCAGCTGGTTGGAGCACTGACCCTGTACATTAAAAAAAAAAAGGCTATGGATTTGAATTCGGGACAGGACGCATACCCAGGTGCGGGTTCAATCCCTGGTCAGGAAAGTACGGAACACAACCAATTGATGTTTTTCTCTCAACTTATGTCTGTCTGTCTGTCTCCCTCTTTCTCTTTCTCTCTCCCCACCCCTCCTCTAAGCATGTCCTTAGATGAGGATTAAAAAAAACAGCCCTAGCCAATTTGGCTTTGTGGACAGAGCATCAGCCTGCCATTGCTCTGGTTTTGGGACTCAATCCCCAATACGGGGTGTGCAGGAGGCAGCCAATCAATGATTATTTTCATCATTGATGTTTCTATCTCTCCCTCTCTGAAATTGATATATTTTTTAAAAAGACACTAGAACAGCTGGGACCAGTTTGGCTCAGTGGATAGGGCATCGGCCTGCGGACTGAAAGGTCCCGGGTTCGATTCCGGGCAAGGGCATGTACCTTGGTTGCGGGCACATCCCTAGTAGGGGGTGTGCAAGAGGCAGCTGATCGATGATTTTCTCTCATCGATGTTTCTAACTCTCTATTCCTCTCTTCGTCTCTGTGAAAAATCAATAAAATATATATATATATATATATATATATTTTTTTTTTTTTTTTTTTTTTTTTAAAGACACTAGAACAAAAAAAAAAAAAAAAACAGAATACTTACTTACCACTTCTCTTTCTAGTAGGTTATTCTTATTTTCAAGTGTCCTCACACGGCTGGTGGCTTCATTCAGAACACCATCTAATTGACCGCATCTAAGACCATAAAGTGAAATGAAACAGTTGGAAGGTCAAGCCCTCTCCCTGACAAGTGTTCCATAAACCTAACCGACTCCCTAGTGCATACAGCACATAACAAACACCCGCTCTCCACATCAGCTAAGACTCAGGATGCAGCGTTAGTAAAACGCATATGTGACCTGATGACAGCACAGTGTCAGAGAAGATAACGATGTAGAAAGACCCTTAAGAAATATTAAGTCACCAAAACAAGGCATGAACAGATACCTCCTTGCACACCCATGTTCACAGCAGCATCAGTCACACAGCACCAGAAGGAAGAAGCCCAAGTATCCATCAGGGGATGGATGTAAGCATCCCTAGAGCAGGGCCGTTCTCCCCTGTGTTCCTAGGATAATTGTCTGGGTACAATTAACAGGATAATTGGGTACAAAAAGGGTTGAGCACTGCCCAAGGGCACTAGTCATCCACCACCTTCTCATCAGGGATCCAGGTGTAGCACTAATTCCCCACAGTGACATTCCTTGACACACACAATGTCTGCTTAATTGTTTTTAGCATTCAGCCCATAGGAAGCACCTGCGTGGAAGTCAGTTATTAGCATGTTCTAAGAGGATGGTTCAAATCTGTAAAAATAATTACTTAGGAAAACATGTTTTTGGTATTAAATTTTTAAAATCTGCCCGGCCAGTGTGGTTCAGTGGTTGAACGTTGACCCATGAACCAAGAGGTCACTGGTTTGATTCCAGGTCAGGGCATATGACTGGTTTGTGCTCAATCCCCAGGAAGGGTGTACAAGAGATGGCCGATAGATGATTCTCTCTAATCAGTGATGTTTTGATCTCTCTCTCCCTCTCTCTTTCTCTCTGAAATCAATAACAATAAATTATTTTCAAATCTGAGGTACATGATTTAGAAATGATTTATCATCACAATATACTATACTTTGAGGAAAATAATATATCCAAGTTGGGGAAGCACTAACAGTTAAATTATATTTTTAAAACTATAAACTTTGCCGAAACCGGTGTGGCTTAATGGATAGAGCATCGGCTTGGGGACTGAAGGGACCCGGGTTCGATTCCGGTCAAGGGCATGTACCTTGGTTGCGGGCATATCCCCATTAGGGAGTGTGCAAGAGGCAGCTGATCGATGACTCTCTCTCATCGATGTTTCTAACTCTCTATCTCTCTCCCTTCCTCTCTGTACAAAATCAATAAAATATATTAAAAAAAAAAAACTACTATATTTTGTTTTACCTGTCTACAAGAATTTGATTGGTTTTCTTCAAATCCTCAACTGCAGACATTTCTTTTGCCTCCAGCTTCTGTTTCAAGCTACTTATTTCTGATTCATAATAAGCTCGAAGATCTGCTATGTGCCGGGCCTGCTTTTCCTTCAGGTTCTGCCGGACGCTGTGGGCAGGAGGGAAAGGCTTGTTAGGAGAGTGTCTCCTCTCTCTGTCCCAAGAAGAGCAAGAACAGTCATTCTCATGAGCAAAAACACAGCCTTTTCCCTCTGTGCTCAGAAAATATAGACAATACACAAGTTGACCACTAACAAAGTAAAGAAAAAAACAGACATGGTCTACCTTAGAAATGCTATCTCTTAGATGGTCTACCTTAGAAATGCTATCTCTTTTTTTTTTTTAACTTAAGATTTTATATATTACTAAAATTCAATAAAAATCACTTTCATCATTTAAGCAGACACTACAGAAAATAGATTAGCATTATAGGCCATCCACTGAAATACATACTTAGACAATAGCACAGGATCTTCCAGGGAAGTCAATGAAATGCATTCTGGGACACTGTTGGCTGTACCTGGAAGCTGGGACTGACTGACTGAGGCTGCAGTTACCATGACAGTGTTTTCTCCTTCCACGGTGCTGACCGAGAGGTCGTTACTAGTGACAGTATAGACTGAGGGGAACGTGGAGCTGGTCCTGCTCTCGTTTGGGAATGTGTGATTTTTCCAAGAGGCCATTGGCGAAGCTTTTGCACGTGAAGGGCATTTGGGCAGCCCAGACAGCTGGGAGGTGGCATTACTTGCTTGCGAGAATGAGTCTATGTCAGAGTGACTGGACACACTGGGCTCCAGCACAGAGTCTGGCGAGAAGGAGATCCTGTCCTGGAGGGCGTTCAGAAAGCCCGGCAGCTGAGTCCCCGCCGTCTGCTCACTTGGCTTCATGTGTAGCGTTGGGTCCAGAGTCAGCACCTGGAAAGAGGCAGATGGCGGCGTGGCTCTCCCTCCGCACGGGTTGCTGAGGAGGTGAGCGGCCAGACCTCCGGGAAACGCGCTAAAGCCCAGGCGGGGTGGGAAGCAGCTTCGCTCTACCCCGCAGAGTGCTGACCACGTTACCTCGGGCGGATGGTTGGGGCTGGAAGAAGTGAGATTCCTCTCAGGTAACTGCTTGTTTTCCCTTTGCTTTTTATGATAAATATCCTTCAGTGACGGAAGCTTCATTTCATTACTAGTATTAGACTTGAAGACACGAAACAAAATTATTTCAATGCTATTAGCAAAGAAGAAAAAGTTTTCTAAAATCAAGATCAGCACCATAAGAGATTTTTTAAAGATTGTCAATAAACTGAGCTTTGTGCTGTCAGATTTATAATAAAGGTTTGGAAGTCAAAATCTATTACAATGAATCTTCCTCACAATGAGAAAGTTTTCCTATCCCCCCAATAATAAATACTAAGGGGATCATCTGAACCTAATTACTTAATGGCCTAGAATACTTTCAAAGGATAAAATCATTGGAGAGCGAGGTTCTGAGATAAGACAAGACTTCAGAAAGAAGGGATGAGGCAGGACAAGGACCCTTCTCTCCAGACTGGTTTCCTGTGGCTCACGGGGACAGCTGCCAAGAGGTGCAGCTCCTGTCTGTGTGGTTATGTCACTGAAGGAGCTGGCAGACAGGAAAAGGGTGTTTCTACAGCTTGACATCAGGGCTCCGCCATGCTGGAAACACTGCCCTGCGGTCTGAGCTCCAAGTGGGAAAACTGGCGCTCAAATTATTTTGAGGTGTGACGGGTCCATTTAACCTTGTCAAGCCTGAACTGTGGCCATTCTGTCAAATGAGACTCAAGCCCAGGAGGGACACAACGCCAGGCAGTTCATCCTACAGCCTCACTCACATCCCATTTCCAGGCCCAATCTGGCTGCAAGGCACCATGAATTATATTTTTAAATCCACTCTGTTATTAGCTTGTGAAAAAGAATTTGTTATACTGTTGTGTGTGTATTGATGGTAATCTGTAAAATGTAAACCCTAAAAAAATTCCCCATAACCCTGTTTTAAAACTTGATGGTTTATATACCAACGCCCTAGAGGCCCTCAAGCCTTGCAGCCCATGACAAGCAGCAGCGCTCCGGTTCCAGCCTGAGCCTGCTCGGTGGCTGCAGCTATTCACCTCAGAGCTCACGGTGGTACAGGCTCCCATGTGCCACCACCTTGATGATTTGTCTTCTCTTCATATTGTAACATCTCTGAAATGTGGTCTTATAACTGCATCTTGTAACTGCTGCCAGTCGCTGCCTGCTCATAAGCAAATATCAAAGCCATCAGCTTGGCCACTTAGGTGTGCTGAGACTACAGAAAGCCTGGGAGCCCCTATAAAGGGACGGGAGCAGGCGTGCACAACAGCAGTGCCATCTGGGAGTCAGAAGCAGGCCAGCCCTCACAACTGCTAAGCCAGGTCCCCCAACATCATGGCCTCCTGCCCCCTTTCAAAGGAATGCCATGTCACCAAGGAAACAGTAGGTGGGGAAACAGAAACCGTGCTGGGATGAAAAAGGAGGGTGAGCCTCTGCAGGTGAGGAAATTTGAATCAACTTATTTTCCTTACATTTTCCTTCTAAATATGTATAAGGCTTACATAATAAAAATCTATGTTTGGCTCAGTGGATAGAGCATCGGCCTGCAGACTAAAAGGTTCCGGGTTCGATTCCGGTCAAGAGCATGTACCTTGGTTGCGGGCACATCCCCAGTAGGGGTGTGTGTAAGAGGCAGCTGATCGATAATTCTCTCTCATCAATGTTTCTAGCTCTCTATCCCTCTCTCTTCCTCTCTGTGAAAAATCAATAAAATATATATATTTTTAAAAATCTATGTTTAGCCCTAACTGGTGTTGCTCAATGGATAGAGTTAACCTGGGGACTGACGAGTCCTGGGTTTGATTCCAGTCAAGGACACGTGTCTGAATTGCAGGCTGCATCCTCAGTGGGGGGAAGTGCAAGAGGCAGCCGATCAATGATTCTCTCTCATTACTGATGTTTCTAGCTCTCTCTTTCCCTCTCCCTTCCTCTCTGAAATCAATAAAAATGTTTTTTAAAAAGAGTATTTTTTTAAAGAAAGCATTGCATCAGTTTAATTGATAAATTCTTTTCTTGATACCCTATCACACAGAAAATCTTCAAATGGGTGGCATCTTAGTCAACAAATACAGTGTTAATACTGAGGTTGAGATAAGGAACCCAGGCAGCCCTGTGAGCAGAGCCCACTCAGCCTCCCAGCCCCTCATAGTCACGAGTTCCCACCCTTCTCCCTCCCTGGGGCATCTGGCTTTTTGCTCCTTCCTCTGAAGATCCCATCGGCCACACTACCGATGGCTGTCACTCAGGCTCAAGCTCTCCTGTTACTTTAATGGTCTCTCTCCTTTCCCAACCTACTCTGCTCTCATCACCCAATCAAGACAAGAAAGAAGTGAGGTATGTACCTCCCTGTGCACATATTGGAGAGTTGTACTTCTTTGCTCTGAAATAAACAAAGCATTTACACTTCTTGCTCAAAGAAAATGAATATCAATTAAATTATTCAGAATTAGAATACAAATAGATTAGTGGGTGGGTGTAGTAGGGTACAAAGTCAAACCAGGCCTGAGAGCAGGAGAAGTTTATCTATGGACTTACTGTATTTAAAAAGCAGGCACAAACCACTTCATTTAATTTCACAAAGCACTCACTGGGCTTTTTTTTTTTTTTTAAATCTTCACTTGAGGACATGTTTTATTGATTTTTAGAGAGAGGAGAGAAAGAGAGAAACATCAATTGGTTGCCTACCACATGTGCCCCCACTAGGGATCAAACCCAAAACCTAGGTATATGCCCTGATCAGGAATTGAACCCTGGACCTTTTGGTGCATCTGATGATGCCTAACCAATGAGCCACACCAAGCAGGGTCACTGGGCATTTTTAATCCCACTCTTAAGTAACTTTCCTAAGATCACACAGGCAATGACAGACAGAATCTGAGAGCAGATGACTGTGATTTAATGCCATGCTTTCTTCTCTGCTTCGGACAGTGGAAAACACAAAGTGTATAATGAAACCGAGTATTTATCCACCATGTGACAATGCAAACACACACGCTCTGACTTACCGGGCTGGCTGACACTTGCGGGCAGGAGGACAGGGCAAAGGGCTTGTCTGTGACCTTGGGCAGAGAGGGGTACGTGTCCTTCTCCTCCAGTCTCCAGTGCGTCAGGCCTGCACGGGCACACGGAAGAGAAGCGAGAAGAGAGAGAACAAATGTGTTTCTAGAGTAACATTTCTACCTCAAGAAAATGAAGTGCGGAAAGTAACTAGCCTTTGACGAAAACAGTTCACATGGTAAGACACATGCCTTACCATGTAAGAGTCCTGCCTTCATGACCCAAGTATTTAAAGTTGAAATATATTACAAGTCAAAATCAAGTAGCACAATTTAAAAAATTAAAAGACAACAATTTCTTTGTGAATAGTACAGGCTTATATGAAAGCAAAGTAAAGAATTCAATAAGTTAAATATTTATTGAGCATCTATTGTGCCAGGCTGTGCACAGGGAGATTGAGACCAAACAATAGGAAAGTCACAGAAGTCAGAGGGTGGTGAGACTCTAACTGGAAAATTTAAAAATCAGATAGAAGGGAATATGCAATTGGGAGAGGGGCAGGTGCTGGTTTTGGGCAGGGCAGTCAGGGTTGGCTCACCTCAGAGTACCAACTAAGAAGGAGGTGGCCATTTTAGTCACATATGAGGCAGTTCCCAAACAGGGAGCAGAACATTCCAAGTTCAGGTAGCAGCCCATGCAAAAAGCCCTCCAATGAGAATTTTGTGGACCAACAGCCTCCCTGCCCCAAGCAGAGAAAGGCAAAGAGCGGAGAGCGGAGGGAGAGGTTGGAGCGTGAGGTCAGAGTGTGCAGGGCAGGCTCTCGTGGGCCTCCATAGGCCTCACAGACACTCCAAGGCCTCACAGAGGTTAGAACGAGGAGTCAGTGCTCTGCCTCATCTCTACAAGGAGCAGGTGGCTGGCTACTGAGCACAGACGGAAAGGTGAGCACGGGGAGGCTGGGAAGAAGTTGCAGGAGCCCAGGTGACAGGTGATGGGGCTCCATCAGGGTGACAGCGTGAAGGTGGTTGGGACAGCACAATTTCCAGAAGACAAAGCCAATTCCTCCCGATGAACTGGTGTAGGAGTGTGGAAACGGAGCCACTATGTAAAACCATTAGAACTAAAGTAAGGCTACCACAGCGAGTGGAGAATGGCTCCCAGAGTTTGCCTTTCATTCATTTTAAGGCACCGGGAAAACACTGAGGTCATTTCTGTGCTATTTGCAAATACCTGCAGGCTCTTTCCCCGGCCCCAGGCACACGTGGCGTGGGAGGCAACCAACCCATGTGTGTCTCTCCCTTCCCTTCCACTCTCTCTGAAAATCAATGGGAAAATGTCCTCTGGTATGGATTAACTACAAAAGAACAACAAAAAAAGAAAGAAAGAAATACCTGCCAAAACACATCTATCTTGACAGCATGCAACCAAGTAAGGAAGCTACAGCTACCACGTGTTCACTTACAAAAACCACTCTAACCCACTGCACGGGAGTCTCCCTGCCGGGAAATGCAGTTAAAAAAGAAAAGAAACTGTTAAAAATGTAAGTTTCATACCTGTTCCTGAATCAGACATCCACAAATTCGGGCTTTCATCTGGCTTACTGAGGTAAAAAGCACGAGGTGGTGTAGCAGCAGCGAACTCCAACTGCAATTCAAGAGGACAACTATGAGCTGACAGCTAACTGCCCAGGCACACGCTGCTGACCAGGGCCGAAGGGCACAGAGACCCGCCAGGGGTCCGTGCACAATGCCTGGCTGGCCCTTGGTTGCAAGAATGCAAAAGAATGGGAATTAAACAGCAAATAATTCTCTTTTCCTACATAATTTACAAACATTAAATTGGGTTTTCTGTGGAGTCTAGAGGAAAAAACTGGGAGCAGGTGTTATTCAATAAGTTTGGAACAAAAATGTGTTAATAATTTGCCATCCACTTGCAAAAGAAATGTGAGATGCCTAGAATTAAAGTCCTTTGGTATAAAAATGAATGCAAAAGCAATAATAATTTGTCTTATCATTCAAACTACATTAAATCAAATCAACTCTGAAAACCACAATAATTAATATGAACCTCAAATAGTAGACTACATCTTTTTAAAAATATATTTTTATTAATTTCAGAGAGAGAAAGGGAGAGGAAAAGAGATATAAACACCCCTATTTGGGATTGAGCTTGCCAACTAGGTATGTGCCCTGACTGGGAATCAAACCGTGACCTCCAGGTTCATAGGTCGACGCTAAACCACTGAGCACACTGACCTGGCTGAGGGTTTTTGAGAAACAATTAAATGAATTACTCTCTGTTTAAATGTGACATTTGCAGTTAAAAAAGAATTAGGGCCTTTACAAAACAGTTCATTTCTTTCCTAGTATTTTTCCCTAATAGTTTTGTTTTCTGGGAAAGAAGCAAGACTGAAGGCCAATCACTGTTCCCCTCCTCTGTGCCACCAAAGGCAGAGAGGGCAATGGGACCAGCTGACCATGACGCTTGTGCGGATGGGCAGGCAGGAAACCCGGAGTGACGTGCGCGTCACCCACCTTCTCCACCGGCACTCTCTGGGGCTGCTCGGTTCCTGGCGTGGACCTGGGACACCCCTCTTCGGCATGGGCTCCCTTTGGGTGGTTCTGCTTCAGCTTCTGCGCCCATGATGTTATCGCTTTACTACTTAAAAAGAGAAAACCAAAATGACTCTTTAGATGTCGACCTTCCCATGTGAAAATACATGACCACACCGCATCAGGGGAAAGGGCTGTGAGTTGTTTTCTAAGAGCAAAGAGCGGAGGGACATTATGGATTCACCTACATTTCCTTTTCCAGTTTCTCATTCCCAAAGGCAAAATGAACTAAAAGACCAACAGCAACCAGCAGTACATACAGTCCATAGCCGTCAACCAAAGCAAAACCACGCAGCGACGCTTCAAGCTCGCTCTATCGAGAGTGAGCACGTTTATTCCCGTGGGCTAATTAGGGCACTGTGTGGGCACAAGACACCTTACTCTGTGGCACATTTCAGATACAAAACTGGAAATTGAGGGGAATCTACATAATTTTCAATGATTTTTTGTTTTACAAACATTTAGCTGCAGTTTCCTTTACTAAAAAGACCCTGGGTCGCCAAAACCGGTTTGGCTCAGTAGATAGAGCGTCGGTTTGTGGACTGAGGGGTCCCGGGTTCGATTCCGGTCAAGGGCATGTACATTGGTTGTGGGCACATCCCCATTAGGGGGTGTGCAGGAGGAAGCTGGTCGATGTATCTCTCTCATTGATTTCTAGCTCTCTATCCCTCTCCCTTCCTCTCTGTGAAAAATCAATAAAATATTTATTTTTTTAAATAAATAAAAAAGACCCTGGGTCAATCAAAATGTTGTTAAACTTACAAATCTCTTCTTATATATAAAAAGGCACACAAAAGCAAGTATGCTTGTGAATGGTTTTTTTTAATAAGATATAAACTTTATATCTTATATTATGCCTTGAAGCAAGATCTCAACAGACGCAAAAATGCTTCTTGCTTGTGTATAATTTTTAAAAAAATATATTTTATTGATTTTTTACAGAGAGGAAGGGAGAGGGATAGAGAGCTAGAAACATCGATGAGAAACATCGACCAGCTGCTTCCTGCACACCTCTCACCGGGGATGTGCCCGCAACCAAAGTACATGCCTTTGACCAGAATCGAACCTGGGACCTTTCAGTCCACAGACCGATGCTCTATTCACTGAGCCAAACCGGTTTTGGCACGTGTGTATAATTTTTTTATTTCCTTTTAAAAATATATATATATATTTTATTGATTTTTCACAGAGAGAAAGAGAAAGAGATAGAGAGTTAGAAACATCGATGAGAAAGAATCATCGATCAGCTGCCTCTTGCACACCCCCCCACTGGGGATGTGCCCGCAGCCAAGGTACATGCCCTTGACCAGAATCGAACCTGGGACCTTTCAGTCCGCAAACCGACGCTCTATCCACTGAGCCAAACCGGTTTTGGCGCATGTGTATAATTTTTTTATTTCCAATTACATGAACATGTGTAACAAAATCCCACTGTTGGCACAGTCATATCCTGCCATTCTGAGCAAGTGGTTGAACATTGACCTATGAACCAGGAGGTCAGGGTTCAGTTCCCAGTCAGGGCACATGCCTGGGTTGTGGGCTCAATCCCCAGTGTGGGACATGCAGGAGGCAACCGATCAATGATTCTCTCTCATCATTGATGTTTCTCTCTCTCTCTCTCCCGCTCCCTTCCTCTCTAAAATCAATAAAAATATGCTTTAAAAAAATAAAGGAAATCATTAGTATATACTGTGGTTTGTTTATTCCAACTTCCACAGGCACTAAATGAAAGACTTTGGTAAAACAGATAAATGTTCAAATGCATCTCATTCTATTACAGTCCAACTAAAAGGAGCTTTATCTGCTAGATTCTAAGTGTATTAAATATTATAAGTAAATGCCTCTCCAATGATGCAAAAACTCTACTTACCTATTTGTTTTTCCACTGTATACTTCCAAAATCTTACTTTCACCGAGGAACTTGTGTTCAAAATCACCAGGTAAAATGGGAATGTCTTCCTTCACCGAGTCACTGAACTCCTGGGGAGAATGGATGTAGAAATGCTTGTGCTTTCCACCATCCACAGGAGACGAGGTCTGCAGGGCCGGCGCCCCGCACTGCCCCGCCGAGGCCTCCGTGTGCTCCATGAACTCCTGGGGGCCCTTCGACGTGTAGGTGTTTAACTCGGAGACACAGAAGGTCCCATAGCCGCTGCTCACTGAGCTGCTGTCCACGTTGCAGTCTGGCTGTGACGGCGATGTTTCCTGCTGCATTTCAGGTTCTCGAGACTTTGGGTAACTGAGGACAGATTCATTTCTATCACTGTTTTCAGAAAAGAACCCCATCTGCCTTTCTGAAGAGCGGTGTTCACTTAGAGAACTTCTGTCATAGGGAGCCCACGAAGCATTGCTGCTCTGTAACTTGACTAGATTCTTTATTTCCTCCTGCACCCGCTAAAAGTAAAAAGTAACAGGTTTAGGTAAGAAAGTATATTAAACATCACACTTTTATAAATGGTATGAAAATAGTGTTCAAAAAATGGTATTACTCTAAAACTCCTTATGTTTTATCTTCAGTTTATAAACGAACTTGATATAAATACTAATTGGTTCTACAGATCTCCCAGCTAACGAGACGCCCGGTGTAATAACAACTTACTTGGACTTGGTTGTGGAACTGCTCCTGCTGGGCCGCTATGTGTTCTTGGCACTGCTTTTCCACCAAGCTGAATAGCTGTAACCACCTGGCCTAATAATTACACAATTATAAAAAGATCATTTTTAACCTACTATTTCACAGAAAAATTGCTCCAGTCGGAAAGGGTCTTTTTTTTAGGGTAAAATTTGTAAGTGGAATTAAATAGTTGTAAAACCATATTTAATACAAAAATACAACGTCATAGGCGTGGGGATCCCTTTCTTATGGGATGAATTTTAGTTTTCCAACTGGCATCTTTTTTTTTTTTTTTTTTTTTTTTTAAATATATTTTATTGATTTTTTTACAGAGAGGAAGGGAGAGAGAGAGAGAGCCAGAAACGTCGGAGAGAAACATCGACCAGCTGCCTCTTGCACACCCCCCACCAGGGACGTGCCCGCAACCAATGTACATGCCCCTGACCGGAATCAAACCTGGGACCCTTCAGTCCGCAGACCGATGCTCTGCCGCTGAGCCAAACCGGTTTCGGCCCAACTGGCATCTTAATCTGATGTTCTCTGTTATCATTTTGGATTAAACAAGAATGGGTAGGAGCCACCTTACAGTTGTTTCATAACAACTAATGATTTTCTTAAACAGTGACTTATACCCCCAAAAATGAATCCAACATCTTAAAACAATAAATTGTTTGGTATTATGGTATATTAACCCCTAATTTATTTGTTCTTAAAGTAAAGACACTTTCTTCAAGTCAGGTATTGAAGAGTTTAAAGCTGTACAGCTGAAACAGGACTAAAAACCCCCGAGCTGGTCTGCGAGCCCTTCCCAGCCTGTTTAGTCCTGACCCACCCGCCTCCGCAAGCAGTTAGTGCTCCTGTAACTGACCGGCCGCTGTGCTCTCAGTCACGGACTACACGCAATAACCTACAATGTCACAGGCGCGGCCATGAACGCGGGCTCCCCTGGGTACAGCCTCCAGTGTCTTTCCTACCATTCCTTCCCGGCCCTGCAGGATCTGGCTCCCACACCTCCCCCTCCTCTCATCCTCTCTGCCCCTTGCTCAATACACTCCAAGTCATTGGCTTTTCTGTCTAATCACAAATATGTTGTTAAGACACACTTCTGGCCCTAGCTAGTTTGGCTCAGTGGATAGAGCTTCAGCCTGCAGACTAAAGGGTCCCAGGTTCGATTCCAGTCAAGGGCATATGTCTGGGTTGTGGGCTCGATCCCCAGTGGGGGGCATGAAGGAGGCAGCTGTTCGATGATTCTCTGTCATCATTGATGTTTCTATCTCTCTCCCTTCCTCTCTGAAATCAATAAAAATATATTAAAAAAAAAAAACTCACTTCTGACCGTCTTTTTCACACTCATTCAATATCCGGTTAATCTGTCCGGCCACTTTAGCACTAACTTCAGTGTCATGCTCTACAGATATCCATTTCTAACAATTCAGACTTAAGTAGAGGCAAGTTTATAGTTACTTTAAATTTCCAAAAAATAAAACAAAACTAGATACCTCGCAGTTCTTCCAAAGTTCCGAATCAGTCCTTCCACTGTGCTGTAGCTCTTGCATGAAAGAGGTGAGGGCTTCACTGGTGCCTTGAATTACAGCCGGTCTGGTCTTCCCTGAGAAAGAGGATACCCCATTTGTACTAAGGTGGGGGCTACTTCTGTTGAAACATAAATAATTCAAATGGTTTTCCTCATTCTACCAGAGTGGTGAATAATTCAGCAATTCAAGATTGAGCAGAGCAGTACAAACCACTGATATTTAATCCTTCTTAATGGCACTTCATTTGTTGTAAATCTGATCACAAGTTTGCCCATGAAAGAAAAATAGCAGTAAAAAAGACAGACAGCATTTAATTTTTTTAAAAGAACACAACAAAAAGGCCTTTTTCAAAAGGGAGAAGATACTCGGAAGTTGCAGCGGAAAACAAAAGTTTCTCCTAACCAATAAGCAACACCTCAGCCCCTCTGATCTGAGTTATTGCAGAGGACTGTCTGGCCCTTTAAGAACAGCCCTCCAGTGTAATGAAATTCTCTCCCCCGCTGCCCAGAACGACAGTGGAGTCTTGTTCAGTGGATCCCTCTAATTTGGCGTGATAAGCGGATGCTTATCTCTGCACATCTTTGAATAAAAGTTGTGCCAAGCAAATTAGCACCCAATATTGAGGCCGAATTTAGCCTATTCAGTGTGTAAAATACCACCGATTCTCTCCAGGAGGACGGCCTTTCCAAACTGGAGATGAGTTCGTTTCAGATTTGTTTCAAACACAAACAGCATAATTAAAGACATTAACATTTATTTAAATTCCCATCGCTGAAAGGCCATTTTCACTTCTTCACTGGTACTCTGCTTTGTTTCACTAAGAATGTGTGAGAGAGAGGACACTAATGAAAATAACAGCAAAACGGAATTAGAAGCAGAGAAAATATTAATGAAAATTCAAAGGAGAGAAGGACAGAACCTGCTGTCCATTGAGGATTTATAGTAACCCAATTTAAATGTGGCCTGTTGAGCTGCAGTCACAGTGAAAAGAGGTAATTTTCACTAGAAAGCCACATGTGGGTTCCGGAGCAAACCCAGCTCCAGGTTCTGGAGTGGCCTTCCCGGGGCCGGGTGGCTCCGGAAACCAGCACAGGCAGCTTCTGGCGGAGGGACTAGCTTATCCCGCAGACATCTCTCTGGACCACCTCCCAGGCCTGGTCTGTTTCCTTCGCCCTCCTTTAATTTATGCTTCCGCCTATTGTGGGTAAAGGCATTTGCCCCTCACCAGCAGGCACCGGACTGCCTTTTACACTTTGTTGTGCTGCTTTTTATAGCTGACCTCCTCTGACAGCCCCTGCCTCTTTGTTGCTGTGAATTTAGAAACCAAGTAATCAAGCTTGTCAGACCATGTACACAATCAGAGTGAACAGGCTCTGATTAAAAACAACCCAAACATGGGGTCATTTTAAAAATAAAATGCATTGTTTGACGGAATCTATTTTGTCTGCTTGGTATGAGGTGTTTTGTTTTGTTTTTTCTTCCTAGTATTCAACTTTAATTGCTACTTCCTTTGCACTGTTAAACATTATTGATCATGTTAACTTAAAAATGTAGAAATAGCCCAACCAGCAAGGCTCAATGGTTTGAGTGTCAACCTTAAACCAGGAGGTCATGGTTCGATTCCTAGTCAGGGCACATGCCTGGGTTGAGGGTTTGATTCCCAGTGGGGGTAGTGCAAAAGGCAGCTGATCAATGATTCTCTCTTGTCATTGATCATTCCTTCTCTGAAATCATTTTTTTTAAACTGAAATAATATTTAGGCAACTAAATTTTAAAGATATTCTTGTAATTTACTGAAAACCAAAAAAGGTATAAAGATCAATGCAACTAGCAAAAACAAGTTCTTTCTCACAGTTCCCCATGCAAAAGCACATACCTACCTCTGGCAAAAATAAAAAACATGGAAGCACTAAAACTATTCTTATCTGTCCCTGAACAGTTACTGATCATAATTGTTTTATTTTTTAGTGCAAATCAGTAACTATACTATTTGAATAAATTGATAATCTATGCAAATAAATTTATTTTTGTTAATACATTTTTTAAAATATATCTATCCCATTCTTACCTATTAGTACTTAAGTTCAGTCCAAGAGAATAGGGAGAATTTTTTATATCAGATTCTACAGAAGATGAAGTTTTTTGTAAGGGTTTCACCAGGTCAACATCTTCCATAGTGTACAGAAACTGTTATGCTCTCTCATTTGAAAGTGTAGGTTCTCTCACTGTCTGAAGAAACTGAATCCGGGTCATCTTCAGAAGCTTCATCGTCTACAGGCATTTTCAGTTGCTAACATTCAGAACTGTGAAATATCCTAAGTTCCCAAGACTCTGAAAATGAATGGGGGGAAAAATACTACTAAAAAGCCACTAAACCTGGCAACTATCTCTTCATGACTTCGGCAATTGTGACCCTTTATACAGGTCTGCATTCAGGAGAGCAACATCATTTCCAATAGCCAAAATGCAGAAACTCAAATACCCGTCAACTGATGAATGCATAAGCAAATGTGGTATGTCCATATAAAGGAATCTTTGTAGCCATAAAAAGGAATGAAGTGCTAAAAAAGGAATGAAGTATGGAGATATGCTACAATGTGGATGAACATGCTACAATGTGAACAATGAAAACATTATGGTAAAAAGCTCAGTAAAAGACCACATATTGTATGATTCCATTTATACAAAATATCTAGAATAGTCAAATCTACAGAGACAGAAAATAGATGAATGTTTGCCAGAGCTGAGGAAAGGGGAGAGTAGGAGAGACCAAAACAGGTATGGGTGTCTTTTGGGGGCAATGAAAAGTTCTGGAATTAGATAGTGGTGATAATTACACAGCTCTATGAGTATACTAAAACCCAATGAACTGTATACTTTAAGAGAATGGACGTTATGGCATGTGAATTAGATCTCAATCAAAATTTACAATAGGGGTGGATTTGCAAAACAGCATCAGTCTTTTTCAGGTAAGATTTCAGAACTGTATGTGTTTAAGTAATCAAGGTTCTAGACACAATGCTACTAGGTCACAACTTACATGTCCATTTGTTTAATAAATTCTACAAAGTATCTATGTATATGGATTTACACAGTGAGTAGATGAAAAAGAACTGCTTAGTATGTAACTTGGTATTAAAAACAGCTGAGCCCAAACCGGTTTGGCTCAGTGGATAGAGCGTCGGGCTGTGGACTGAAAGGTCCCGGGTTCGATTCCGGTCAAAGACATGTACCTTGGTTGCGGGCCATATCCCAGGGGGGGTGTGCAGGAGGCAGCTGGTCGATGTTTCTCTCTCATCGACGTTTCTAACTCTCTATCCCTCTCAATTCCTCTCTATGTAAAATCAATAAAATATATTTTAAAAAATAAATAAAAACAGCTGATCAAAAGGCTCACCATGCTGGCTGGAAGGTGAGGTGGAAGGAATGCATTTTTGCGCTCCACAGCCTCCTGTACCCTGTGCATGCGTTACTTTTTTTAAAATAAACTATTTGCCAGATCACCTAATAGTGAGCTGACACTAGGTATATAGAGTCAAAGAATATGCCTCCTTCTTGGGAAATTTGAGCATTTTAAAAACACACACCAAGCCGAAACCGGTTTGGCTCAATGGATAGAGCGTCGGCTTGGGGACTGAAAGGTCCCAGGTTCGATTCTGGTCAAGGGCATGTACCTTGGTTGCGGGCACATTCCCAGTAGGGGGTGTGCAAGAGGCAAGCTGATCGATGACTCTCTCTCACTGATGTTTCTAATTCTATCTCTCTCCCTTCCTCTCTGTACAAAATCAATAAAATATATTTTTTTTAAAAATAAAAAAAAACACATACCAAGATAAAAAGATGTTCCTTGCTGCTTACAAAATGTTAAGGTGAGGAAGTGAAATAGAGAAAAATGATCTAGGATTCTGGTTCCTCTAGGTTCCCACCTCCTAGGGCCTGGTGTTTACAAAGCACAACCTCAGACACATCATCTCATAGAGGAACTACGTCCTTGGAGGACAGGTGTGGAAGCCAAGAGTAACCGGACCTCACTCGGTGGATTTCTCCCCAGTGGCGGCGGCCCATCACCAACGACAAATGGGGTATTGAAAACCTCAGGGGCCGCACCTTTCCACCTGGCAACGAAAGCACCTGGATTCAAATCACCTCGCTCTTGTACTAGGAAGAACCACAAGCTCCCTGGGGACGGGGACCTGCAACCCATCTATTCTTCCCCCGCTGGCTGAGATCATCCGGATGCAGGAGATCCAGACGGAAAACCACTTTGAATGCGACGATGCTTCTCCACCAGCGGGGTGAGGGGTGAAGATTACAGGGGCGGGGATTGGGAGGGGGGGAGAAAGATACCCCGATATACAATGCAAAAAAAATTTATTTTTAAAGAAAACGTCATGGGGAATAGATAGTACAAAGACAGTTTTATATTTCACGGCAACAAAATATGCTTTTGGTCTCCCCGACCCCTAGCAAAAAAGAAAAAGAAAAAAAAATTGGGGGGGAGAAGCGAAGGGCTGATGGGGGTCTGATGCTGCTATAAAAGTGAACGTGCAGTTTTGCTTTGCTGGGAGCCCGAGGGGGGAAGGAAGGGGGAGGATTACAGAGGTCTGGAGGCCAGACCCCAATGGCTGGTGCGGGCTCTCGGGTCAACGTGAGGCGGCGAGGGAGGACGCACGCAGCCGCCTGCATGCAAGACCATCCATCGTCCCGTCCACGACGACCGTGATTGCTCAAGTGAGCCACGAAAAGGGAAAAGGGGAATCCCCCAAGCCCCCCGCCCCTGGGGGAGAGGCACTCCGCCCCTGGGTCGCGCGGGTGTCACTCAAGGGCACCGGAGCTGGAATGGGCGCCCGGCCGCAGGCAAAGCCCCCACACGCCCGCCCGCGGGCTGGGGGGGGGCTGCGGCGTGTGGCCGCCGTCCCCCTGCACCCGCGGGACCGACAGCACGCGCAGGGCTCCTCTAAGGCCGTGTCCTCTAAGCCTCGTCCCCTCTGTGCCCCCCGAGACCGGCAGCTCCCCGCAGGCGGACGCGGACGGCCGCTTACCTGGCCGCCGACTCAATTCAGTGTCGGGCGGGCGAGCGGGCGGGAGGCCTCTCGCGACCGTTAAACTTCAGGGAGCGTGCGCGCGCCCGGCGCCTCGCCGGCGATTGGCCGCCTCGGGAGGGGGGCGGGGACACAGGGCGGCTGCGCGCGCCGCCACCTCCCTCTTCCCTTCCCGCGGCTCACGCGCGGATAAACGGCGGTCGGAGGCCTGGGAACTGGTGCGGGGCGTGGCCGTTGTCAAGCCCTCTCGTCTGATTGGTTCGCTGGCCTCAGCTTCCTGCATGCGCAGTTGGTAAGAAGGCGGTTCGGAGCCGCGGCTGAGGCACGGCGCATGCGCAGCCGCGAGACCGCCGTTGCGATTCCCTCCTTCCTCGGCGGTGACTCGGGTTCCCACCAGAACTTTGGGGGCGGAGGCCAATCGTGGGGTCGGGTAAGTGTCCGCGGAGAAGTCAGGCATCCCACACGGTTACCCACGATTGTCAAGGGCTCTGGAAAGGGGACGGCGAGTTTGTGGTCCTGAGTTGCGCAACCTGTTGGCCTGAGTCCCTGCAGCCGGTCCAGGCACCTGAGCTGTCTTCCCTGGACCTGGTGTGTCCTAGGCTGCGGGGCGTCTGCGCTCTTCAAAGGGGGATTTGGGGGACAGGAGAGGGAAGCCCGTGCCCTGGAGAAAACAGGACAAATGGACCGATCCCCGTGGACTTGTCCAGCAGAGTCTTATAGCGCCCGTAGCACGCAGCGGGGCTGTTTGAGGCCTGGCACATAGCGGGTGTCCGCGTCGCTCTTGTCAGATCTTTCAAAGGATTAGAGAGATTCCGCGTCCCTCACCGTGGGCCCCCGGCCCCTCTCATTCGCTCTGCTCTGTCCTTGTTCTTCAAGCTAGTTCAACCTTTCAGGTACCCGCAGCTTTGAGATTTCCCTCCAGGTGCCCCGAGAGCTGTACACAGCACAGGGACTTTGGCTGTCACTTAGAGATGCCTGTGCAGGCAGGACTTTGGAGGTGTGCTTGCCCTTGGCATGGGGCAGCCCATGGCATCCGAGCCTCCCAAGAATCCCTGGCAATAATGTCTCAACTGTAAAACATCGGTCTCTCTCCAAGACCTCATGCGTGCCTGGGAGATGTCAAGCTTACCTAAATCGAGCCCACCCACCCCAAATTATGTTAATCCACCTGTGGAAATTATACTCATGTGATACCCAATCGAAGTCCAATTATTTTTTTTATTACTTTAATATATTTTATTGATTTTTTTACAGAGAGGAAGGGAGAGGGATAGAGAGAAACATCAGGTGAGAGAGAAACATCAATCTCCTCCTGGAGATGTGCCTGCAACCAAGGTACACGGTTTTGGCGTGTTGTTGGTTTTTATATACAGAGTTTGTCATCGGGGGACCAGTTCTCCACAGCAAAAGAGGAGGAACTCTAAAACTTTACATCTAAGTTTATCCATTAAATACGGAAGGAAGTGATAAGTTATATATTTAAATATGGATTTTTCTCATCTTTCCCGAGCTTTGTGACTTTTCTTACCATATTAGGTAGCCCCTGAAGATCTCTAAGTTTGAAGCAGGGCTTGTTTGATGAAGGTGGGTTTTTATCTTTCCATTTGAACCTGCCGGGAAGGCCAGCTGTGCTCTTGACATCACAATTTGTTCCTTGGCACCTGCTTTCCTAGACCACAATTATGACCTCACCAAACAGTATGTCTTTGGTTCTTTCAAGGTTTCCAAGTATAATACTTCTTGAGTGGGACCATCCCCAGTAAAATAACTAGCAGGTCACTGTTCTAGAAGTCTTTTCACTATGACCTCTAATCAGATAAACGCCCATGAAATCGTAAGTTTGCAGAGTGGGTCTGAGCTCTGAGATCACAGTGTGTGTGGTGTGAAAGAGGTTCCTGAGCTCCATAGTTTAGGGATCCGAAGTGCTCACTGCTTCACATTAGTCGCAACATGGGATTTTTCTCACCCAGCTGTTATTTTTACTACCTCCATTTTACAGATGAGCAAATGTGGCCAGAGTTGCATAGAGAGTTGAGACATTGACACAGGTCCCGTTGACTACAAAGCAATATAGCCTTTCAGGGGCCAAAAAAAAAATGAAAGGAAGTGTCAAGAAGAGAAAGTGGAGGAAAA